TTTTAGAAATTTCTTACTGAATGGCAGAACTCGAGGTTCCACCTCGACCTGAAGAAGATGAAGTTACAGAGAGACAAGTCACAGAGAAGGCATATTCTAATGGAGATCCGTTAGACTTGCAGAGTTCAGATCATCCAGGAATGCAGCTGGTTACTACGCAGTTAACGGGACAAAATTATCTTAGCTGGAGTAGATCTGTTAAGATAGCTTTGGGGGCAAAATTGAAATTGGGTTTTATTGATGGAAATTGTGAACAACCAGCTGGGAATTCAGCTAAGTTTGAGCAATGGGTACGAGTTGATTGTATGGTCAGGTCGTGGCTACTCAATTCGATTTCAAAAGAAATTGTAGAAGCCTTTATATACACGATCTCTGCGAAGGATCTCTGGGAAGAATTAAAGGAAAGATACGGTGAGTGTAAAGGACCCTTATTATACCAATTGCAGAGGGAAATTGGTAGTATATCACAAGGAGTATTAACAGCAGAGAAGTATTACACGAAATTAAAAAAGCTATGGGATGAATTAGCGTGTTTGATGCCAGTGCCAGTTTGTATTTGTGCGGCTTCTAAGGAAGTATCAGATTTGACAGGTTTTAATCGTTTAATGCAATTTTTAATGGGACTAAATGATGCTTTTGATAACATAAGGAACCAAATTTTGGTAATGGATCCACTGCCTTCAGTGAATAAAGCTTACTCAATGGTGCTTAGAGTTGAGAAACAAAGGGAAGTGCACATCATCTTCCCAGAAACGAATGACAACACAGCAATGCTTGTTAAAGCTACAGAGTATAGGAGAGATAATGGAGGTAGATCTAACTACTACAGAGGATTAGGCAGGGGACGTTTTAATAGGGGAAGTTATAATTTAGCAAGGGGAAACATAAGGAGATATGGAGGAACAGATAGGGAGAACTCACACTGTGATCATTGTAACATGAATGGACATATAAGAGATATTTGTTTTAAACTAAATGGATACCCAGATTGGTATAAAGATCTGAAAGAGCAGAGATCTAGAGGTCTCAATGATGGAAGATATATGGCAAACATGGCAGAAACACCGTTAGACATTAGTGAAGATCAGATGACTGAAATCAGGAAAAATGATGCTGTAAGCATAGCAGACATCGTGAAGACAGAAGTTCAAAGAGTCTTGAGAGGGAAGACATTGATGGAGAATAAGGTGAATTTTACTCATGTCAAGGAATACGCAGGTATGAGTTTCTATCACTCCTTCTTGGCTAAGCTTGATTGTTTAAAACCTGGAACTTGGATCGTTGACAGAGGTGCTAGTAATCATATTTGTGGTGATATTAAATTGATGACAAACTTAAAAACCACAACACAGCCTATACACGTTTATCTACCAGATGGAACCACTAAACCAGTCAATGAGATAGGAAATGTGATATTGAACTCACAATTATGTCTCACTGATACACTATATATTCCTAGCTTCAAATTTAATCTCCTATCTGTACCCAAACTCACCCAGAATGCACGCTTAAAACTGATATTCTACCCTTACTTCTGCCTGTTGCAGGACCTGCAGAGTGAAAGGGTTTTAGCTGTTGGCAGGCTTATAGGAAAATTGTATTTGTTGGATGAATCCAGTTTCTATTCTAGTAGCAGAGAAAATGTTAGATAGCTCATTATCGAGTCTGGAAATTCTAGTTTCTTTCCACTTTGTAATCAAATTTCTGATATCAATAAAAGTTCCATTTTATCCAATAATGATTCACTCCTAAATTGGCATAGCAGACTTGGCCACACCTCATTTCATACTCTACAACACTTAGACTTTCTGAAACATTCCTCAAAGGAACTTGAAATTTTACAGCACTGTGAAGTTTGTCACAAAGCAAAACAACAGAGAAATCCATTTCATGTCAGCTCTATTCACACTAATAACGTTTTTGAAACATTACATGCTGATCTTTGGGGACCCTACAGACAAATCTCTTTAACTGGAACTCCATATTTTTTAACTGTTGTTGATGATTTCAGCAGAGCAACCTGGACCTTCTTACTCCATCACAAGACACAAGTCACTAAAACCCTTGATTGTTTCTTCAAAATGGTTGACACTCAGTTTGATAAAAAGGTCAAGTGCTTGAGGACAGACAATGGCACTGAGTTTTTAAGTGCTGAGTGCCAAATTTTGCTTCAAAACTCTGGGATCATATATCATCGAACTTGCGTTTATACACCTCAACAAAATGGGGTGGTTGAACGCAAGCATAAACATTTACTCCAAATTGCAAGATCTCTAATGTTTCAAGCAGGTTTACCAAAAAAATTTTGGTCTTATTCCATATTGATGGCCACCCACATAATAAATAGACTTCCTTCAAAAATCCTTCGATGGCTTACTCCTTTTGAGATACTATATGGCAGAAAAGCTGACTATTCACAACTCAGAACTTTTGGATCTCTTTGCTATATTGCTAATACAAAACCGCATAAAGATAAGTTTGAGGAGAGGGGATATAAATGTGTTTTTCTGGGTTTCAGTCCTGGGCAGAAGGGATTCAAGATTTTCAATATTGCCACCAAACAGATTCAAGTTTCTCGAGATATCAAATTTTTTGAAACCGTTTTTCCTTTAAAAAATTCAGCTTCAGTTGATTTGCCTCCTCCTTTACCTTTTATTCAGGGATTTGATTTAGATGAAGATACCACTTCACCTTCGCTGACTAATCCACCAGAAATAGAGTTGCAACAAGATTCTATAGATCCACCAAATCCAGCTGCTGAGTTAATTCCTTTGATACCTGTTCCCTTCCTTGACACACAGTCTAATGGCAACTGCATTCCATCGCCTCCTACCTTACCATCTACATCTGTACCCACTCTTAGATAGAGTACCAGACATAAATCTAAACCTCCTTGGATGCAAGATTTTGTTACCAATGTTGATAGCACAGAAGTTTTGCCAACTGCTGATCTACTTTCACTTTGCAGGGCGATTCCATCAGCCTCTACAGGTTATTCACCTCCTACCTTTCCTTACCATGTTTTACCCCACATTAGTACATCACATACTGCTTTTCTAGCTACCTTTTCATCTATTCAGGAACCACATTCTTACAATCAGGCTAGTCAAAGCCCAGATTGGATTCAAGCTATGCAAAAGGAGCTAGATGCACTCGAAAGTAATCAGACTTGGGAATTGGCTGCTCTACCTTCTGAGAAACATGCTATTGGTTCTAAATGGGTTTATAAAGTGAAATTAAACCCAGATGGCACAGTTGACAGGCTGAAGGCACGGCTAGTAGCTAAAGGCTATCATCAGTTACAGGGTATTGACTATTTTGATAGCTACTCTCCAGTGGCAAAGATGGTAACCGTACGAATACTTTTCACTATAGTGGCCAATAAGGGATGGCCTTTGCATCAGTTGGACATTAATAATGCCTTTCTTCATGGCTTCTTGGATGAAGAAGTGTATATGGTACCTCCAGACGGTTTTCACAAGTCATTACTTGGGCAGGTGTGCAAATTAAAACGTAGCCTGTATGGCTTGAAGCAGGCTTCACGACAGTGGAACGCTGAACTTTGTTCAAAACTTCACAATTTTGGTTTTCACCAATCTGAGCATGATCATTGTTTGTTTATCAAACATCAGTCACAGCGCATTCTTGTTCTTCTAGTATACGTTGATGATGTTCTTATATCTGGTTCTCATGAGGATGATATTGCTGCTGTGAAGCATTATTCCATAAAGCATTTTCTATCAAGGATATGGGATTTGCAAAATATTTCTTGGGTCTTGAAATTGCACGAAGTGACATGGGTATGTATGTTAATCAGAGAAAGTATATTCTTGATTTAGTTCATGATGCTGGTTTGACAGTGGCTAAACCCACTCAGGTGCCAATGCCAAAAGGCACTAAACTGATTCATCAGACAGGGTCTTTACTTCCAGATCCAGAAAAATATCGAAGATTAATTGGGCGACTTCTCTATCTGAATTTAACACGGCCAGACATTACATATGGGTTTCAGCAACTTAGTCAATTTGTTCATCAACCATCAGAATCACATTGGGATACTGCTATGCATTTACTGAAATATCTAAAAGGTTGTCCATCGAAAGGACTTTATTTCCCTGCACATGGCTCCCTTCATTTACAAGCCTATTCAGATGCTGATTGGGCTTCTTGCCCAGATACAAGGAAATCTCTCACTGGTTATTGTGTCTTCTTGGGGTCATCTCTTATCTCCTGGAAAACTAAGAAACAAACTACGGTCTCTCGTTCTTCGGCTGAAGCTGAGTATCGCAGCATGGGCAGTACAGTTTGTGAACTCCAGTGGATCACCTATATTTTAACTGATCTTCAAATTCCTTTCAATCTACNAAAACTAAGAAACAAACTACGGTCTCTCGTTCTTCGGCTGAAGCTGAGTATCGCAGCATGGGCAGTACAGTTTGTGAACTCCAGTGGATCGCCTATATTTTAACTGTTCTTCAAATTCCTTTCAATCTACACATTTCTTTGTGGTGTGATAACAAAGCCTCTCTCCATATCACTGCGAATCCCGTCTTCCACGAGCGTACAAAGCATTTGGAGATTGATTGTCATCTTGTTCGAAATCTATATAAGTCAGGATTCGTTCTTCCTCAGTACATCCCATCCCATTCTCAGCTTGCAGACATTTTTACTAAGCCTCTTCCTGCTCCTATTTTTTCCCGTCTTCTCTCCAAGTTGGGGTTGGGCGACCTCCACCAACCTCCACCTTGAAGGGGGGATGAAGAGAATACAGGCTGATGGGCTGAGATATGGAGTCGAATTGTTTGCTGCAGTTGGGCTGACTTAAAGGCTACGTTCCAGCCCAGTATAATGAAGCCCAGTTAACACTTATTCTCTTTAGTCCATTTAATGAATAAGAGAAAGCGTGTGTTGCTTTCACGTTTTTAGTTAGCACACGTTTTATAGGTTTAGTCTGTTAATTTTGTTAAGTCTGTTCCTTGGTTCGTTGTACTGCGATTCCTCCATCTATAAATGATGGAGATCATTTATATTCTAATTGAGAAGAATAATTTGATTCTAATACTCCATTTTTAATTTGTTCAGTTGCAGACTGCGGTGGGTGAATTACCTCAAGCCTGGAGTGAAAAGAGGGAACTACAGCAAGGAAGAAGTTGATCTTATCATGGAACTGCATGCTGAACTTGGAACCAATTTGAAATAGTTTTTGATTAATTAAAATTTATCACATAAACGAGAGGGTTTTGTGTTAACCACATCATCTAAAAATAATGAAAACATAATTTATTTTTTTGGGCGTGACACGTCTGTTAATGAAGCTTACTTTTAGC